TATATATATATATATATATATATATATATATATATATATATATATATATATATATATATATATATATAAGAAACTTGTCTGAATAAATTTAAATTTATATTTACCATAACAAAAATAAAAGTTCATAAAGTTCGATTATAAAGTAGTATGTTCTATAATTAAATGTTATTTAATTAGATTATAATACAGAATGGTTTTAGACGGCCAAATCAGAGTAAAACGTGGTTCTGCAAGCTATTTTATTGGAAATCGAATGAAATTGAAATCTCAAGATAGACACGATAATGGGTTGCTTAGGGGGTCTATACTGGCCACTTGGGACACTTTTAGAATGGGAACTTTTTATGTTAATTCTTGGATACTTAAAACACAAGTTAGTAAATTTAAACCTTAGTTACTCGATGTGTATACCAAAAGAGTTGGAATTTGAAGCCACAGACCCCGGCCTAAACTGCTTGTCTCATAATGAGCAAGCAGTTCTGATGAATTTTGCAAGAGGTAAGATTCAACAAATAAAAAGTAATTTCAAATATTTGTAAAATATAGATTGAAACAATATGGTAGTAATTATAAATTAATATATTTTATATTATTAGATACTTAATTGTAGTATTTCTAGTCACAAGATACTTCTCCTAGCCTAAAAAAGCAAGTTCTAGAAAGCAACAGGGCATGAAGCAGATTGTATTTGATAACAGCGTGATCATGCTGACCCTGATCTTGACCTGACAATGTATGCTATTTGACAATTTATACTACCCAAGACATGCTCTTGAGAACCCATGATGAACTAAACACTTGTTTTAAATAAGAGATTAAATACCTAAAACATGTAAAGGTGTTTAATTTCTGATTTAAAAACAGTTTATATGTACCATCAAGAAAACCAACTTTTTACAATATTACAATATTATAATACATATGTATACATATACAATACCATCAAGACAACCAACTTTTCACAATAGATTACTATTTATAATGCTGAACAAATATTGTTAAAATTTATTAAGTTAGCAATACACAGAAAAAAGAAGCACATCTAAAAACATACCTTGTAATAAACTGACGAGTTAGTGGACAACTGCAAAATGAATCTTTTAAAAGCACTATGGACTCTGTAAATAAATAATAACAACAATAAACTCTATGAATAGATAAAAGTAGAGATGCTATAAATATTTGATGACTATTTCACAAATACTCTGTGACTATTTTGTATTCTGCTTATTCTGCTACTTTTTTTACTATTCTGTATTTGGCAGAATATTGCAAACTCTTCTGCCAAGTACCAAATACCAGGTCGTAACGAAAAAAAATGCATAAAATAAAATTACAAATAACTCTTACTTTTATTTTTTATTATAAGAAATAATTAACATATTTAGCACTTAATATATACTTATTACCTATAGATGGTAAGTTATGATTAAAACATTTGTTTTTCATTGTTTGATAATAGCAAATAATTGTGATTGTTCTTATTAATTATACAAAAATACCCATTCACTATGTACACTGTCACCCAAAAATAATAGGAAATTTTTATCAAACTCTGTTAGGACAATGTTTTGCATTTCTTGACCACAACTTATAAGGGTTTAATTAAAGTGAACTATTTCATGTAAAAAATATACATTTTCATATTTTCTGTAGAGATTGATTTGATAATTTCATTAAAGTTTCTTTTTCTGATGAAGTGGAGATGAATCATTGCCAATATTACTATACACCGGTTGACTGTCGATGGTTCGGTTGACTGTCGATGGTTCATTGATGTCAAGCAGCTTTTCACCGTGAAGGACTAGCTTTTCACTGAGAAGGATAATCCTTTCACTAAAAAAGATTGTGATGTGTGTCACACATCTTAATCTTTCTTAGAGCATTTAAATTTTTTTTTTTTTGCTCATTGTATTTTAACTATATTTAGGAAATTAACTTTGGAATGTGCATCAATAAAAAGGCAACTGTATTATTGTCTTTCCCATTGAAGTTTGGAGTCTTTTGTGCTGTATCTATCTATAGCATCTTCTGAAATTTGAAGAGTATGATGATTTTTATATCATACTATAGTTAGAAAATTTGATATAACAGTCAACAAATAATGTGTGCTGTGACACAACCTAGTCACAAATGAAACAAAAATGTCTAAAGTGTAGTTGACATATGCGTTTAATGAAGCAGAACCCTCAATAATAATAAGGGTCGCCAAATATTTGGCAGCCAAAAGTTCTGTGATTTGGTCAAGTGCCTAGCCGAACATTTGGTATTCAGCAAAAATCACTATTCGTGGAATCTCTAGATAAAAGCATACTAATATAGTTTTTAATTTTGTTTTATACATTTGTTGGTAAAGTATTCCAGTTAGTTCACACTTAGATAAATAAATATAGAAAGAAAAAATTTATTTAATGCGGTAAGTATGTCACAAATTAAAAATTGATTTATAGGCTAGTGTGTAGAATACTCCTACATAGTATACTGGAAATACATAGTATACTGGATCTTGTTTCTTTAGTAAATTTTGAAAACTTTTTAGCATCTTTAATACAGCCCTAGTCAAAAAGTCCTATAGGATCCTATAAGAATTAAGAACAAAAAAAAATTCAGATTTGAACCCCATTAAATTAAAAACATTAGTTAAAAAGTGTTTAAAGTTATCAAATTTTTGTCTTTTTTTTTGTTCTAAAATCCTTTAGGTCTTATAGAACATTTTTGGCTCGGGATTTAAAGTGGAAATAATTTAATAAATTTAAATAATTTAAAAATAAGATTTAAAATAAATTACTGATAATTTAAAGTATATTTCTAGTAATAACTGATAAAAACTTATTCTTTAAACAAAATAAATGGTTGATTTATATTTTCATTTTTTATTTATTTATTTGAATTTCTTGCTACACAATGCTCTTATATCTTAAGATATTGTTGACTTAGCAAAGAAAAAGCCACAAATAATCATAAAGACTAATCTAAAGTAGTGTCTGTTATTAACCAACATTTTTTGCATACCAAAAGTACTACTAAATTGCTGAGTTGGTGGTGACTGAATTTAAACTCATATTGCACAACAGTCTGGGTTTTAACAATTTGTTTGATGCTCTAACCAACTGAGCTATCCAGTCACATAAATTTAATCCACAACAAATGTTTTATTTTAATCGAATATGTTTTAATTTGTTAACATTTTCAAGTTTGCTTATTTAGATGAAAATGTTTCAAGATTCATATAATTGCCACATGTTATGTATATGCCTTCTTATACACCATTAATGCAAGTCATTGTTATAGCTAAACTTTTTGTTTGTTTATATTTCCATGTCTGTCATTGCAAACTAAAACTATTGTTAAAAAACAAATGAAAAAAAAAAAAGAAAGTATACCTTTAAGTATTCTGAAATTCTTACACTGGCAAATTTTCTTTAACACATTCCAAAATTGGATATATAATGATAGCTTGGGTCTTGAACCATTAAAGGTGCCCTTGAATATAATGCAGAATACAATCCAGATTAAAAAATCTACTAAATTAATATTATCTATTTGTATTTCAGTAAGAGAGTAAAGTAATCTATTTAAAGACAAAACTCCTAAAAGAAAATCCTTCAGAGCAGAATCTCAAATTATTTAAAAAATATTTCTTCAGTTAAAATACAAATTAGTAATTAAAGATATATTTATTCATAATTAAATATAAACCTATGTTATTATTATACTTTATGCATAATTATGAACTCTGAAGATAACTTTAGGTCTTTTTTTACAATTTTTTTTTCTAGCAAAACAGTAACAAAAATATATAAATCAAAATTTTGTATTTATGGCATGAAACATTTACAAACTAGGTCATATATTATTTCTGGTCATTATTAATGAAGCTTATACAAGCATACTTTAAAGTGGATTCATATATTGTTTCTGGTCATTATTATTGAAACTTATACAAGCATAATTTAAAGTGGATTCATATATTGTTTCTGGTCATTATTATTGAAACTTATACAAGCATAATTTAAAGTGGATTCATATATTGTTTCTGGTCATTATTATTGAAACTTATACAAGCATAATTTAAAGTGGATTCATATATTGTTTCTGGTCATTATTATTGAAATTTATACAAGCATAATTTAAAGTGGATTCATATATTGTTTCTGGTCATTATTATTGAAACTTATACAAGCATAATTTAAAGTGGATTCATATATTGTTTCTGGTCATTATTATTGAAACTTATACAAGCATACTTTAAAGTAGATTCATATATTGCTTCTGGTCATTATTAATGAAACTTATACAAGCATAATTTAAAGTGGATTCATATATTGTTTCTGGCCATTATTATTGAAACTTATACAAGCATACTTTAAAGTAGATTCATATATTGTTTCTGGTCATTATTAATGAAACTTATACAAGCATACTTTAAAGTGGATTCATATATTGTTTCTGGCCATTATTATTGAAACTTATACAAGCATACTTTAAAGTAAATTCAGTAATGATCAAAACTATACTATTTTTAATAATATTGATAGAAACCTCTTTGTGCTCATTAGAACTAGAAACTAAGAATACAATCCTTATTTTCTGCCTGTGAGGGGCTTACAGAGCTTGTTAGTTACAAGGACTAGCTCAGGAAAAAATTTGATGTGGGTCTTATCTGTCATTAAACGAAATCCACACATGATTTTTAGGATACCAAAATGTGGGTCATGTGTGACTATGGTGTTTATACCACTTAGGTGATTCCCACAAATGGACCACAAACGACTATAGTACTTATACCACATAAATATTATGAATACAATAACAATGCCTGCTTCACATCTATGCCATTTCATAAATTGTGTGTGGCATACATTTATTCTAGATCTTAAACTTGTTTACTTTATGCTTTTGTGTCATTTATGATATGTGGAAATAGTTGCTTATGCTATAAAACCTTTATTCATCTAGATTTTTTTATCACAGATCAATGAAAATCGATTACATTTTCATTTTTACCTAACTTGTACAACTTACAGTTGTTTAAATCATCTGTCAACCATTTTCAATACTCTTTATTTTCTCGTAACTCCCAACTTAAATAGTGAATGTTTTGAGCCTTGTTGTGAGTGAATTGCTTTGGATGATATTTATGTTTAAATCAACTTTTTTTCTTACAATTGCTTAGGATGATATTTATGTTCAAATAAAGTTCTTTGTTACAATTGTTTAGGATAATATTTATGTTCAAATCTTGATTTGAGATTCGAGATATATAGAATAATTTATTATTTCATAAATCTTACCTTTTGCAAAATTTATTTAATCTATTTATAGTGGAAATAACTTGGATATTTTATCTTTGGATCTCATTGTTGATGGCTATTATTCTCTGATTTACTAAATCTAAAACATGCTTGACCTAGATATACATTATCACTTTGCCTATTTATTGTAAAATCAGGACCATATATTAAATCCTATGCAAAATTATGCTAATCCTATGCTATTATTAATTAAAATATGGAAACCATATATTAAATCCTATGCAAAATTAGCATTTGCTAAAGATGCATCTCTTTATCGAGCTCGACACTTTCTCACTCTGGATTCTATTCTCTATCTCTATAAATCTCAAATCCCACCTTGTATGGAATAGTGTTGCCATATCTGGGGCGGATCTTCTAATGATACCCTTTCACTTTTAAACAAGGTGCAAAAACCCACTGTAAACATAGTTGGACCTGCTCTTGCAGCCAACCTTCAACCATTATCACATCGTCGTAATATTGCTTCTCTTTCTCTTTTCTACAAATACTATAATGGGCACTGCTCTAAAGAGCTAGCATCTCTTGTGCCATCTACTAAAATTCACTCTCGTTTTACTCGTCATTTAATTAAGTCTCATCCTTTTTCTTACTGTTACTTGTTACTGTTTCTAATTTTCTGCAATTTTTAAACTTAAAAATATAAACTTTTTCAACTAAATATTTAATCTTTTCAAGTATATATTCAATCCTTTTCAAACATATTTAACCTTTTTCAGACATATTCAACCTTTTTCAGGCATATTCGCCCTTTTTCAAATTTATTCAATCTTTTTAAAATATATTTAATCTTTTTTAAATACAACGTTCAAAATAAAAAATCACTTGTAGATGGTCAATTTGACCAACACAAAAAATTGGCGGTCAACTGTTTTTTAGGCCGGTCAATTAAAAAATTCCAAAAACATTTTAAAGGTTATAGAACTTTAGCTACTTTTAAAATACATTATAGTTGTTGGTAAAAACTTTTTTTAAAACTCAGATTTTTTTAACCTGTCAACTTTGACGATAATTTATTTTGGGAGGTCAAAACAATAATTTTGATCACTTCAGGCTAACCATTGATCACCTGTTATTTTGTACACTGCAAATATATTTATTATTTTTCATACAAATTCTATATTCATGGGGAAAATGTGGCAAAACAGTTTATACATACACTCAATTTAGAGAAAATATTTGTAGGTAGCTGCAGTTTCCTCTCTAATATTTACAATATGGAGAATTATAGCAAAGTTGCTTCTTTATTAGAGGAAGCTTCTAATCTTCTTCGCACTCTAACTCAAAGCAAAAAAGGACTAATTGGGCTGGTTTTTCTAAGAATGCTCTTTCACTTCTAAACAAGGTCCAAAAATGCATTGTAAATGTAGTCAAAGTTTACTTCTCCTAGTTTTAGCCTAAGAAAATAAATCCTACAGAGCAGCAGACAGGTTGTACTTGATTACATGTCAAAAATGGTAGGGTGATGACCTAACCTGATTTATTGCACTCTAGCCTGATTTTAATTTAGAAATCTTTAATTTGAAGAAATTTAATGGCTGCTTGGAAACACATTGATTACAGAAGTGATTTGAAAAAAAATCTTCCTGAGTGAAATCATTTTAAAAAATTCCAAATCTCTTCTTGTTGAATGTTTTTATCACAACACCTTTAAATGTCTGCAGTATTAAAAGCACAACTTAATACTTACTTAAAAAATGCAATTTTATTACTAAAATGTGCTGCCATCCTACTAACAAATTTTACATTAAAACCAATTGCAATAGAAACTTCTTTAACTTTCTCTAACTAAAGGCAAAAACATTTGTTAAAAAAGTTCAATGCTTATTAAAGCATGACAAGGCTACTAGACTGGACATATTGGGGTTGCTTTGTTTTATTATGAACTTGTCTGTTAAAAACTGTATTGTTCCTAATATATGAAAAAGGACGACTGAATAAGGGTGAATTTCATAAGTGCAAATTTTATAAAAGCGAATGACGTAAGTGCAAACTGGCAAAGGTGCAAATCAGTTACAAAAACTGACATAAGTGCGAACTTTCATAAGTGCAAAAAGTTACAAAAACTCAAACTGGCATAAGTGCGAGGAATAAAATTGCAAATATTAACATAAGTGTAAATTGGCATTTTGCACTTATACCAATTTGCAGTTATGCCAGTTTGTACTTATGCCAGTTCCCACTTATGCCAATATTTGCAATTTTTTTTGGCGCACTTATGCCAATTCGCACTTATGCCAGTTTGCACATGTGCCAGTTTTTGTAACTGCTTTGCACTTATGCCAATTCGCACTTATGCCAATGTTTGCAAATTTGTTTAGTGCACTTATGCCAATTTGTAACACATTGCACTTATGCCAGTTCGCACTTATTCAGCCTCTTGTATGAAAGTCTTGATATTTCGCATTGAGAACTTTGATATTTTGCAACACTTTTTTTTTCTGAAATGTTAATTCACCTTATGGTGAATTAACATTAAAAAAATAGTAATGGTAAAAAACATGGAATGATATATTGCATTGTGAATGATATTTTGCATTATATAGAGAGCATAAATGGACATACTTAAATAGAGAGAACATGTGAGAAGAGTACTTAAATTTTAAAAACTTTTTTATAATACTTTATAATATATAATACTTAGAAAACTAATGAGAAATTTTGCTAAAAAACTACCTTGAACATTTGCAAGCTGGATAGCACTTCAGATTCAAGTTCAAAAACTTGACACTCATCTATTGCATTTTCAAGCTAAAAACACTAACTCATGTTAACAATTTAATTGAATTTAATTTGAAAAAACAGTTTAATTTTAATTGAATAACAATAAATTTTTTTCTTAGCATGACCAAGAGTAGAGTGCTTGTTTTATAAGCAGAAAGTACTGAGTTCAATAACAACTAAGTCCTTGTTTTATAAACAACAAGTACTGAGATCAACAACCACTAGGTCCATGGTAGCACATTACTCAATTTGTTTCTCTACCTTGTTTATCAAGATTTGTTATGGATCAACAGAGTTGGGAAAGAGTTGCAAGAACAACAAAAATAAATAAATAAAAAAATGAGTATACGCCTTGACTGCAATACTCCCTTTCGCTTGGTATGTAAACACAATTAAATATAATCTTTAAATATGTGACACTACAAAACGACTAAAGTATTTTTGATTAAGTATTGTGCTTTTCCTACTGTTATAATTAGTATGAATAGATAAAACAAAAAATTTAAAATATAGTAATAGTAATATTAGATAATAATAAGAATAATAGATGCTGTAACGAGTTGAATTGCAAAACACATATATGGTAATATATGCGTTATGAAGCCTAGCCTTCTCTATTTTATTTTAAATATTTACAACTTAGTTTAAAATCCAAAATATTAAAAAAAAATTATAATAATAATAGTAATTCAATTTAAATAAAATTTAAAATTGTTCTGACCTTCTCAAGCAAGGTATTTACTTTGTCAATGTAAGAAGATCTAAATTATTAAGCTACTATAAATTAATTAGCTAAATGTAATAAAAATGTATTTTAAAAACAACTAAATTAACTTCTAGGATTAAAATTTAAATATTGAAATTTAAAGCGTTAAAAATATTGACTCATAAATTTAAAATTTAAATTTATGAGTCAATATTTTTGATGGTTAAATTAAATCAAATGAGTATTAATTTTTTCAAATAAAATTAGATCAAACAACAAATAAAATTAAATCAAACAACAAATAAAATTAAATCAAACAAGTCAATACTTTAAGTGGTTAATCTTAGTTAACATTTGAATAAAATATTCAAAATAACCAAAACATTGTATGTCAAGATTTTTACTTTAAAAAAAAAAGTTCACTTTCAACAAGGTTGCAGACAACCACTATTAAAGTTTACAGTTAAAGAGCAAGAAAACAGATAACAGAATGTTCAAAAGTTGCAAACTTTATGTATCAAAAAAACATAAAGACAGGAAAAAATGCTAAAACAATAATGTTCACAAAAGTATAAGAATTTTGTACATAACAAAAATCTCATTTTAACAGTTTTACGGCACAAAAGAAACTAGCTCTTGAGAGCTATTTATAGAAAAGAGAAAGAGAAGCAACAAAGAGATGATGTGACAATGGTTAAAGTTTGGCTGCAAATACAGGTCCAACTATATTTACAATGTGTGTTTGCAGCATTGTCTAAAAGAGAAAGAGCATCATTCAAAGATCCACTCCAGATATGGCAATAGTATTTTATACAAGGATGGATTTGAAATTTACAGATATAAAGAATAAAATCCCAGGTAAGAAAATGGGAAGCACAATAAAGAGATGCAACCTTAGCAGATGCAAAGTTTGAACTGGATTTGATATATGGTTTCGAAGAGAGATCGAAAGTAAGAGTTAATCTTAGAATATGAAAGGTAGATAACTCATTGAGTAAATTGCAGTTTATAAATATAGGAAAATCTAGATTGTTGCGATAACGATTAGCTAAAAAAAATATCTAGCTAATCATTATCACAAAGTTTTATCAGATTTAAAGTTGTAGCAGAAGTGAGATTTTTTTCAAGCTCAAATGCCCCCTCCTAGCAATTAGAGAGTGCTTCCTATCAAGACAAGAATAAATGAGAGCAATAACCTTAACCTATTCATGTCTATCTGATGTGCAATAAAACCTATCAGTTATTACCATTAACAAATCAGCAGTAGAACGAGAAGATCAAAACCTATATCAATGATCAAAAATTATTAGATTCAAGAGATTAAGTGTTTGTTAATTAAAGACTGGAAAACCTTGCTTATGATAATAAGAAGACTAATGGGACATTAATTAGATGAGTAAGATTGCTCTCTAGAATTTTTGATGATTGGGATAACAGATGCCGCTTTCCAGCAGGCTGAAAAACAAGACTCTGATAAGCACTTGTTGAATAGTTTTGAAAGTATAGATGACAGCTCTAGAGAAAACTTCTGCAAAACTTCTAAACTATAACAGGTATGTTGTCTGGACCACATGCTGTAGAAGATTCTAAGCAAGAAATCACTTTAGATACAGAAGATAGAGTGATACAAATGTAAAACAATGGATCAACCTATATGTTGGCTATATCAGGTAGGATATGATCAGTGAAATCAAGAGATAAGATTGATAAGAAAGTTCTCAGCAAACAATTCAGCTTTGCTTTAAAGTGAGGTAAAAAATCTGAACCATGTAAGAGAGGAAAAAAAAGATTTGCTATTATTATAGACACTGTTAAAAATTCTCCAGAAATCTCTGGAGCCTTACTTTTGAGATGAAATACAAAATTTTGTGAATTAAGAATAGCAGGCTTTGGCGCTATACAAAACCTTTTTACAATTGTTTCTAGCAATAGAAACAGAGGTCTGTTTACTGGAGTTGTTTTGGCGATACTTTTGGCGATATATATATATTTAAGTAATGGTTACAATTGGAAATTCCAGCAGTACAATGAGAGGTAAACCATGAAGAAGATTGAGGCTTGAATTATATACATTGAGGAAATAAAAGATTCCATCCTTACCTGAATCCAAGAAGTTACATCAGAACCATTAATTTTAGACTGTACCGATACCCTTATTAGGAGTAGCAGAAAGTGTAACATAACCATTAGCAAACAAGCACAACCAAATTCTTTTGAAGAAAGTCAAGAAAATTCAGGCTTCATCATCCAGAAAACAATGTAACACAGGTTTTGTTTATATAATTATTGCATTTTGTACAATGTATATGTAACACCTCTATAACACTTATGTAACACTTTTATATGTTATTTTATCTCTGCCAACCCATAAATTTTTTACCCATTAATAAAGGTTTAGTTAATAATGGCTTATCTATTATTAAAAAAGTATTATACAAGACAGCAGCAGGACACCGCTTACATCTGCTCAAGACTAATATTTTTATTAAAACATCATTTTAGATTTTAACAAATCAAGAGCTAATATTTGTGTTACTCATTTCATTAAAAATAAAATGAATAGGAAAAAAATCAGCTTTTTAAAGAATCCATTGCATTAGTGTTATAGGAATATATTTATATATTTTTTCTAAGGCATTTTTCTCTTGCAAAAAATTATTTTTCCACAAGAAAAAACAGGGTTCCTACTATTAAAACTGACGCTAAAAGTAAGGATATTAAGGAGATTTAAGGAGATATTTTTCTAATATTTAAGGAGATTTGGTCATGCACAATAATTTTTTGAAAGAAAAAATAAGGAGAATTAAGGAGAAAACGTCTATATTAGAAACAAAATCTTATTTTTTTCAATAAATTTTAAATATAAACATAGAAATTATTATAAATTAATATATTACTTTATATATAAATAAATATAAATAAAAAATATTTGTACATGTTTCTCTATCATCAGGAAGAGCCTAATGATAGAGAAACATGCTGTTAAAAACCAAAATTTAGATAAGTGTTTTTACCAATTTGATATTGCTCTGTTCTTTAAGAACATTGAGCACTCTATTTGTAGAATACACTAACATAATTTAAATATAAATATAAATATATATTTAATAAAAATATAGGTTTGCAAACTTTCAAAGAACTATGTTTTTTTTGTTTATTAATAAGTATAATCAATTCACTTAAATAAAATTTCCTAGATGATTAAAAAAAAGGATGAGAAATTAAGAATTGCAGTCAAATTTAAACTTTTTAAAGATTAAGGATATTTAAGGAGGTTTTAATTTTTTAAGGATATTTAAGGTTTTTAAGGTGAAGTGGGAACCCTGAAAAATGGTATTTTTTACCTGATGATTGCATTTAGCATAAAACTTATAGTTGTAAAAAATATGTACTTATATATATATATATATATATATATATATATATATATATATATATATATATATATATATATATATATATATATATATATATATACAGTCGCGATCAAAAGTTTGGAACATTGTATAAAAAACACAATTTTTATTAAATTATTCAGTTATTTTATCAAAATATATTAGTAACCATGAAAATTTCCGAATATAATAACTTTGAAATACTAATAAATGTTTTATGAGTTTTATACTTGAATTTAATACTTGGTATGGTGTCCTTGAGCTTTCAAACAATTAGCTAGCTGGGTAGGCATAGAGTGAACGAGTTTTCTCAAATATTCAGGAGTCATTAATTGAGTCCATACCTGTCTAATTTTTTCTTGTAGATCATCGAAAGATGATGGTCTAAGTTTCTGGACTTCGTTTTTAAGATGATTCCAGCAGTTTTCAATGGGATTGAGGTCCGGTGAATTACCAGGCCAGGGGCCAATGACTTCAACTCCATTCTCAAGTAACCAACTGCTTACAAGCTTGGCCCTGTGACAGGGTGCTCCGTCATTCTGAAACTTTTGGGTATTTGTGATGTTCATGAATATTTTAAGTTTTTCTTGAAGTATTTCAAGATAAATTATGCCATTTATTGTGGTGTTAGGAGGCATAAACCATAAACCACCACTTTGATTGGCTGTAATGGCACCCCATATCATGATTTTAGGGCAATGTTTTACAGTTAAAATCAAATATTTGGGGTTGTATCGTTGGCAAGGCGGGTGTCTAACGCTTGTAGAATGACAACCAAATTGTTCAATTAATGATTCGTCGCTAAATATTACATTCTCCCAATCTTCTGCTGACCAGTCCTTGTATTTCTGACAGAAGGCAATACGATCTCTAATATTTTTTGGAGAAAGGCAAGGTTTTTTTGCTGGAACATGGCTCGTTAAATGAAATTGTTTGCACAAACGTCTTCTAATGGTCACAACACTTGGTGCAACACCAGTGGGGAATACCTCAGATGAAATTTCAGAAGCACTGGCAAACGGATATGCTTTTGCATAACGATGGATGCGATTATCTGCCCTTTGAGTAGTCACCTTTGGTCGTCCAGCTCTAGCTTTACTTTTAAAATTACCAGTGTCATGATATCGCTTCAATGTTTTTATGATACAGCTATGGGTTACATTAAAACGTGAAGCAATAGAAGTCAGTGTCAATTCTTGTTCACGTAGAATAACAATCTGAGCACGTTTTTCGGTTGTTAATTCATTAGTTCTTCCCATAATTATTATTTTAATTTTTTTCTAAAATAACAACAAACTATGACTAAAACAAATTTAGTGGCTTATAACATAAATTACGCATGTATATAATACTAATACTCAAAATTTTCAATTCAAAAAAAAGGTTTTTAACAAGTATTTCAAATTTTCTGCAAATTTTTAAAATGTTCCAAACTTTTGATCGCGACTGTATATATATATATATATATATATATATATATATATATATATATATATATATATACACACACATTTAAATTTTACTTTGAATTTTTTTTTTTTGTTTTAATTAAATTTGGTTATTTTAAAAAACTTGATTATTTGAAATTTTTGGCGCAAACTCCTTACAGAGTAAAATACATAAAGTATTATAGCCTTGTTTATATTTATCTAATAGTGACACTATTAGATATTACACTTTTAGATATTACACTTTTAGATATTACACTATTAGATATTACACACTATTAGTGTGCCAAATAAATTTTCAGTTTCATTTATTTCACTACATGCCTTTAGAAAAGAATTGACAAACAAATGGCATTGATTTCAGTTAATAGGATATAACCACTACCATATAAAGCTAACTTTTTGCCCACAGTTTTCTTACCGATTCCCTGTTAATAACAGTAAATAAAACTGTATAAGTAAATAAAGTAAAATAAAACTGCATAATTTTTTGTAGAACGTTCTAATTTTAATGAAATCCTATTTTAAAACATTGCATTTTAGATATTTCTTATAATTTATAACAATCTGATAATTGACCAACTTAAAAATTTCATGTTACAATAGTTTATTTATAAAATCAACTTTAATAATATAATGCCTAAACAAATAGGTTTAAAATTTAACAAGAAAATTTGCTAAAATATATGATTTATTTGATACGTGATATTTTTGACTAATTTAAAACAAAGTTGTATTGCAGAAAAAAGATCTAATTATAATTATAATTTCAACAAAATCTAATATAACAAGTATATTGTTATAAAATTGCATTTCAACTTTAATGTTATAAAACTTCGTTCCTAACCTCAGTTTTCGTTGTTGGTGCGGTTGAAGAATTTTAACTTTATCTTTCCTTTGTTCAATAATTTTAATATGAGAATGAGACAGAATGCAAAATTTGTATTTTTTTGGAATTTTTTCAATAGGCATATTTTTTGATAGTTTTAGTAATACAAAAACAAATAATAGACGGGAGCACGTTTTGTTTTGTTTTGATTTAGTAGGCCATTTTACAATTGCCTCGCAACAAACCGACCTGCTAGGAAACATTTAAAAAATGGCTGGCTCTGGTATGTTTTTATAGTCATTACAAAAAGTTATACAGATTGACGTCTGTGAACTAATTTATTATTATTTTTTATTTTTATTTTTACAAGTTAAAATTTTCTACCATAATTTTATTATTAAGTGATTTTTGGTACTCATTCTTGATGTGTTAATTAGATATTTTTATATTGAATTTACAAAATAAGCATACGTATCAATATTATTAAATTTTTACGTATACTTTCCTGTATTGAAATTATTAATATTATTATTACACATTATAAAGTATACATAGCACGTATAATAATGAGTTAATTAGATTTTTAATCAATGCAATTCATTAGTTGCTATAATTATTATAATATAATAATTATAACAACTAATTAATTACATTTATTATAAAGCTAATTAATTAGCTGATATACGTGATATATATACTTGAGTATGTATACTATTAACAATTGAGTTTCTCAATATTATAATAATTTTGAGGTTTTATTAATATAGATCCATTAAATTAAAAACAAGTACAGAAAAAATCAAACTAAAAACGGTTAGGAGCTCTTAACTAAGATGCTTCATGCATTAAGAAAAAAGGTCTTAACTGAGTGTTCGAATAGTGTTAAATATAGGTGAATTAAATTAAAGAACATTACAGTAATGCTAACTCGATATTTATATACAAGAAACTTTTTTACACACACACACACACACACACACACACACACACACACACACACACACACACACACACACAGATATATATATATATATATATATATATATATATATATATATATATATATATATATATATATATATATATATATATATATATATATATATATATGCATGTTTAAATAACATGACTGATGTAACATTAAAATAGCCTGTTGCTGGGGGCTTGAGTACATACATCAGCTATCTTATATTGCTGTTATATTCTTAAGAACTATTTATTATGAACTAAATAATTGACATCAATCATGTTATTATAATAATACTGTTAAATGAACTTAAGTTATTCTAATTATATTTAATTGATGTGCTATAAAATCTGTTTTGTAGATCTTGAATTGTGTTTGACTTAATATTTGATAAAACCGGAAATATTTAATATAGACTTATTTATAATAGTTTCACAAAAATTCATCAAATATTAAGCCAAACACAATTCAGAATCTACAAAACAGATTTTATTGTGCATCAATTAAATATAATTAGAATAACTTGAGTTCATTTAACCATATTATTATAATAATGTGATTGATGTCAATTATTTAGTTCATAATAGTTCTAAGAGTATAACAGTCTTCTCTGTTTTAAGAAAGTTTTAGTACGAGGGTGTAATTGCTTACTCTTGGATAATACTCTATGAAGGAAAGTAGTCATCGAAATACTTTGGCCTTTTAATAGTACGTCCTGTTTTTGAGGATATATTAGGTTGTGTGTCAGGAGTAGTAACCTTTTGTTTAGATGGTTGGTTATTTATTGTTGTAGGTGATTGGTCATAAAAGAAGCTATCCTTTATTGGATTCCCAAGCGAATGCTGTATGTCATTTAATTCATCTTATTTTTTTATTTCCAGAATTGTGGCTGTTGTTACTAATGTCAATTTTGTCATTGTTTGAGCATTCGGACTGTTGTTGGACTGGTTCTCCTAAAAGATTTCAACCTGTAACGAACTCAAACTACAAATTTTATTTAACCATATTATTATAATAACATGATTGATGTCAATTATTCATAATAGATAGTTCTTAAGAATATAACAGCAATATAAGATAGCTGATGTATGTACTGAAGCACCCAGCAACATGCTATTTCAATGTTACTTCAGTCATGTCATTTAAACATGCATTTATATATATATATATATATATATATATATATATATATATATATATATATATATATATATATATATATATATATATAATTATTTTCAAAATTAACACAATGTTTTTTATTCTTGGCATGTTTTGCAAAATTTATTCACATTTTCAAAAGATTATTGTACAAAAATATTCTTGTAAAAAAATCTTTTGAAAATGTAAATAAATTTTACGAAACATGTCAAGAATAAAAAACATCGTGTTATTTTTTTAAATAATTACTTATTTTATGCTATTACAATGATCACAGTATATATATATATATATATATATATATATATATATATATATATATATATATATATATATATATATATATATATATATATATATATATATATATATATATATATATATATATACATATATATATATAGTTTTATTTGTTTTGTAACTCAAAAAATTTCTAAACAGTTTTGAATAAAGTTTGTAAATTTTTTTCAGTTTCATGTTAAGCATTTTTTCAGGTAAAGACAATATACAATCTATAAAGCAAGAGTTGCCAAAGTTTATCAGAGAATTTAAAGCTAGAACAGGTCAAAGCGAAAGACCTAGCATTGATGAGAAAAAAAGCAATTCTGTTTATGATGAAGATGATAAAATTCGAGATGATGAAGCTCCATTAATAGAATTATCAGAAAAAGTTTCTAAAGATGAAGCAGCAGCTTTTCTTAAATCAAAATTTGGTCAAAATGTTATTATTGACTCAAAGAAAAGGTCTTATCAACTTGATGAGCTTGAGGGTAAATATGTTTTTAAAATATTGTTTTTTAGAGTAAATATATCTACTTAGAAGAATTCATCTTTTACACAAAGTAAGATTATATTTTTACAAATTCATTTAATTTAATAAAAATTTAACAAAAATATCATGAAACAAGAAAATAATTTTTAGTTGCATAATTTTAAAAATTTTATCAGTTTAATTTGGATTATAGGTTGTAAGAATCTGAAAGATGATGATAGTAAACTAACTTTTAGACAGCCGACTAATCGAAAAGAGCCTACAAATAAGAAAAAAAAAAGTGAAATGAAGCAAGTTAAAAATAGTAAACTTTTATCTTTTGGCTGCGAGGAAGACGAAAACGAGGAAGGCGAAAACGAGAATACTTAAACAAAATATGTGGATGGCTAACTTCTTTGACTTTAATAAAAGTATCCTCACTGCTTCTTTGAGTGAAAATCCATAATCGTAAAGTGCATCAGATGCTGTAAATGTGTTACATAAATGTGTTTCAATGACCTCTTTATGTATATATGTATATATATATACCTCAGTTGTGTATATATTCCTATTTTTCTTGTGGTTGTTTTCTAGACAATGGATATCTAATAAAAGAACTAATGTCACAGTGGTGCATCGGTAAAGAGTGTTTACTAGAGACCAGTATATATTAGTAACACTTGTAAATCCGTAAATCTTGTCTATCAAGGGAAAGCAAGAATCAAGTTGATTCTATTTTTAGCTTTTAAGTTCTGTTGTTGTTGTTTTTTAATTTTGTTTGTGAACATCCGAATACCAAAATAATAAAAGTTTAGCTATTATATTCAAGTTTCAAATATTTAATAATAATTGGGGGTCCAGAATCCTCTATTCAGAAAAAAAGTGTACCAATTTTGCCGGCGATGGATTAAGTTATATAACCACAAGACAAAAATGCGCACTATATACAAAGTCTATTTATTTAAGTGTAATCTTTTTAATTCAAAATGCTTATCAACAAAAACTATATGAATGCTTTAATATCATCGTTACAGTTGTCACAAATTTAAAATAATAAATTTCTACATATGTAGGATTTGTTGACCTTAAGCTAGCACTCGTGTCAACTTGGAATTTAGATTTATTATTTAGAATTTAATTAGATTTCTTCATGCTTACATTTTTTTTAAAAATAAACTAAACTAAACCATTTTTTGTCGTCAGAGCTATATATTCTAAATTTTTTTTTTTCAGTAATTTCATATTTACACTCATTTAATCTGTTAATGCTATTTAAAGTTTATTTAGTACAGTAATAATTTTCAGGTAGTAGAGTTACTGTTTACTTTTTTTGAACACATCACATCACTATTAAAGTAAATTTCAATAATTTGAAAACCTCAATGTTACTTGTTTTCTATATAAGAAAGATTATAAACTCGGCTTTTTTGATTAATATTTGGAACATATTACTTATAATACCAATTGTTATTCATTTTTTGAATATTATTTAAAACACAAACATTGGAACAAATATACAAAACAATGATTTTCAAACAGGTATGCCAAATTACGATTACATGATCATTTTCACATAGCTTTTTTCACTGCATATAAATCACGCCCTGTAAGAGCTTAAATTTTTTAAGATTTAATAAAATATACCGACTCATAGTAAATTATGATTGGAGTCGTTGAGTATGTATCATAGTAAATTATGATTGGAGTCGTTGAGTATGTATCATAGTAAATTATGATTGGAGTCGTTGAGTATGTATCATAGTAAATTATGATTGGAGTCGTTGAGTATGTATTATATTTAAATTATGATTGGAGTCGTTGAGTATGTATTATATTTAAATTACTTGATCAATAATTTTTACATATCAATAATATTCAAGAGATGCTTTAAATACTTTACACGCTAAAAGCATATAGCTTTCTTGCGGTTCAATGTGCATTGTTTTTTATCTCCTTCATAAACATGAAATAAATAACAAGTATATTTCAATTATTATTTTCTTTAATCTATTTTTAATAGATTAAAAAAAATAATAATTGAATTGAACATTTCTTGCATTAAAATTGTAGAAAATAAAATCAGAGTGGGGTTCTTGAATTCTTGTTGATAATTAGCTCTTGTTCTAATATAGTTTTTTTTTTTAAGTATATATTGTGGGTGCATCTTTATGATACAAGCGATCATAGGTGGTATCACCGAATCCCAATCCAGCCCAACGATTGCCAAGCAGTTATAGTTGGGTGTTCCTACGCCAGAGGTTATGCAGCACTATTCTTTATTTATTTTTTTTATTTTTTTTTAATATACATAGACTGCAAGCACACACACACCCATACTAACAGCACATATACACCCATACACCCATATATATACCAATATACATACATAAATACATACATACACAGATACACATACGCATTTATACATAATTTATTGATTTTATTTTATTTTTATTTTTTTTAATTTCTTTTTTTCTTTTTTTTCTTTTTTCTTTTTAATTTTTACAAAACCGTGTTATATAAACCGTAATAAATTTTTTTGTTTTTTGTTTTTTCAAATACTAAATAAAAGATAAAATTAACCTGAAAATTTATACATACTAGCAATATATAATATAAAGCAATATATAATACGAACTCAAATAATAAATATTTATACATCTATTCACAGCTATCAGTTTCAGTACAATCTCAATGTAACTATATAAATAGGTAAACTTAGTTTTAATAATAGGTAGACAAACCCATACACTAGTAATATAGAAAAACGTTCTTCTCGTTCTAGAAAGAATTAGATTTTTAAGCTTAGTTTTGAAAATAGAAAAAGAGGAAGGTAGATCAAAATTTTGCAAAATAACTTTATTCCAAAGATTAGGTGCACGATAATCAATACAAAGCTGATTAAACTTGGTTCGACATAAAACTTGATTTAGCAAATTATTATTTCTCAGTGCATACTTATTGTCTGGTTTCAAAGTAAAAATATTTTTAAAAACGTCAGGAGATAAGTTATTTTTCCACATATATACAAAACATAGAGTATTATATAAATTCACTTCGTAAATATTAAGTATTCTCATTTCGTTAAATAAAGGTTTCGAATGAGTAAAGCGATCGGAAAAATTAATAGTACGAATTGCGTGTTTCTGACGTGAAAAAAGACGTTTCAACTTATTCTCTCCAGCACTTCCCCAAGCAATATTTGCATAATTTATATAATTATGGATGAACGAATGATAGAATAGTCAAACTATTTTTATTTAGATAATCTCTAGATTTATATAAAATTCCAATATTTTTAGAAATCTTGGTACATACGTGATCAATATGCTGTTTCCATGTAATGTGCTCATCAAGATAGACTCCTAAAAACTTTATGACAGAGTCCCTCTTAATCTCAATTTGGTTAATAAATATTTTAGGCTGATTTAAGGGTAGGTAACGTTTTTTTTGAAGCGGGTGGAAAATAATCCATTTTGTTTTATTAGGATTAAGAGTTAATTTGTTACACTTGAACCAGCTAGATATTTTTTTTTAAGTTCGTCATTTATATTACAAAACAGTTTGGAGATGTCACTATCAGAAAGAAATAGGTTAGTATCATCAGCGAACATAATGCTAAGTAGATTTGAAGCTTTATTTATGTCATTAATGTAAATCAAGAATAAGAGGGGTCCCAATATAGAGCCTTGAGGAACACCGCAAGATATATCTAATAAATTTTTTTGGCAATCATCCTTACAAAAAACAAATTGTTTACGATTTGATAGGTAGCTTTCAAACCATCTTAAAGTTTTTTTGTTTATACCATAATATTTAAGCTTATGCAGTAATATAGTGTGATCTACTGTATCAAAAGCCTTAGATAGGTCAATGAAGATACCTAGTGTGTATTGGGAATTTTCAAAGGATTTTGAAATTTCGCGTACAAATTGAATGATTGCATGTTCCGTGGAGTTGTGCTTTTTAAAGCCAAATTGATTGCTATATAGTAGGTTATTGCATTGAAAATAATCATAGACTCTATTATACATAATTCTTTCTAATATTTTTGAAAATATAGGTAAGATAGAAATGGGTCGGTAGTTGCTAATAATAGCCCTATCACCTTCTTTAAAAATTGGGGTAATTTTTGCAATTTTTAGTTGTTCAGGAAAAATTCCTTGATTAATTGATGCGCTAAAAACTTTAAAGAGAATATCTTTTAATTGTTCAAAACAGTTTAGAATTATATTACCATTAATGTCATCTGCTCCAGTAGCTTTATTTTTTTTCAGAGTTTTAAATGCTATTTCAAATTCTTCAAATGATAATTTAGAAGACAACTCTCCAGATGTAATGCAATCAGTCATCGGTACTAGAAAATCACTAAATATAGCCTGCGTCTTTGGAATCTTATTGGCCAGTTCAGGACCAACTTTAACAAAAAAATTATTAAACTCGCAAGCTATTTCTTTTTGTTCATAGATGATTCTGTTATCAACCTTGATGACCTGGGGAAGGAAACCTGAGCAGTCTTTTTGTTTTCCGCTTATTTCTTTTATTATTTCCCATGTACGCTTGGAGTTATTTTTATACTTATCGATTAAGCTAGAGTAGTAATTTTTTTTCAAATTTTTTCGAGTTTTTTCAAACTGATATTTATAATCTTTGTATATTTTTTCATTTTCTGAGGACTTTGTTTTTAAATACTTTATATACAGTTTCTGCTTGATCTTCGATAATTTTTTAAAATCTTTGGTAATCCAGGGATTGAATGTTTTTTTTGGATTTATTGTCTTTTCTATGAATGGAAAATTTGCATCGTAGATAGGATATGTGTTGAAAAAATTATCATATATAGAGTTTGCGTCATCGTTAAAGTTTATATGTTTCCAATGGAGCAATGATAGTTGCTCTTTAAAATGATTAATATTGTCTTTGTTAATATGACGCAGTCTAATTTTTTTGCTTGTCTTAATCATAGTTTCGGAATTACAGTTAAATGTTAAAAATATAGGGAAGTGATCGGAAATATCAGGTTTTAAGATACCTTTTTGTATGTTTTTGTTAAGGATATCGGTTGTAATAATACTATCGATAAGAGTAGTTGTGTTTATTGATACTCTTGTCGGTCGATTAATTAAAGGAACTGCTCCTAATTCAAATATTGCGTCATAAAACTTTTTAACTTTAGAATCCTCATAATAAGAAAAAGTATTCATATTGAAGTCTCCAATGACAAAAACTTTTTTTTTTTCTTTTGTGCTTTTTTTGAATATGTTTGTTTTAAAAAAATGCTCAAATTTTTGCCCAGACCATCAGGTGGTCGATAACATAAGCTTAATAGAATATTTTTTGTTTGATTGTTTACAATTTCAATCGTTAAAATTTCTTTATTCTCGTCAGAAACACTCAAATCATTCCTAACGTAATGCATTATGTTCTTTTTCACGTAAATAAAAATTCCACCGCCGCGTTTATTTGTTTGCCTATCTTGAGATATTAATTTAAAATGAGGAAGGTTAAAATTTGAACTATTTTTTAGGTCATTTATAGTTATCCATGTTTCTATTAAGCAATATAAAAATATAAGCATATAAAATATAAGCATATAAAAATATAATATAAAAAATATAAGCATATAAAAAATATTTTTAGTTTCTTCTAATAAATTAAGTAGATTTTCATAATTGCGATTTAAGCTTCTAATATTTACGTGAAGAATTTTAATTTTATCGCTTGCTTTTACATTATCCTTCAAAAAAAACTCTGCTAATTCACTTGGATAATAATATGAACAATCACTGAGCAAATCACAATAATAGTTAGTGTCGGGATCTGAGAATTCATTTGAGATGCAATCTATTTTAGAAAAATTAAAGATTTGGTTTTCAAAATTATTAATGCCGCTCATTTTTAACAAGTGTATCTATAGAAGGGTTTCTTTTGATAAAAACTTATTTGTTGAGTTCTCTGCAATAGATCTTATCGAACTTTAAAATAGCATACTTACCTTCTTTACGTAAGTTTAATACTTCACCCCAGAGTCTTTTTCGCGTTTCGATTGTTTCTTTAGCAAAATCTTCGTTGATAAAAATACCAGTTCCACGTAAATTTTTACTATTAAAGAGAATTCTTTTTTTATCGTTGTAATTTAACAGTTTTATGAAGATTGTTCGGTGTTTGCCTACTTTTTTTGGACCTGAACGATGAGCTCGTTCAATTATTATTTCGTTCGGGATTTTTAATTTTTTTGAAAAAATATCTTTCACAATTTTTTCACAGTCATTCAAGGTTTCACCAGGTAATTCATTTACACCTTCTATCCTCAGGTTGTTTCTTCGTGAACGATTTTCGAGATCAACCAGTTTCTCACTTATGTTTTTAATGGCATTTGTTTCTTTTATAGATTCAAAACGTTTCTGCTCATAAAGATGTTTAATTTCACTTTCTGTCCGTTTATTTATTTCTGCAATCTTTTGTTTAGTTAACTCCTCTTGGAAGTTAAGACTCTCTTTTATTTCTTCTACGTCCTTTTCGATATTAGAAGTTTTTATTTTGTTTGTAGATAGATCGAGTTCTAATTTATCCAACCTTTCAGTAAAAATCTTCATATTTGCGCTTGTTATTTTTGCGAAGTTTTTTTCTTGTTCTTTGAGAAGTCTTTCGGTCTCCATTAATATAATATTTTTCTGCTCTTCAAGCATTTTTTTAATAATTTCTTCAGTATTTTTATTTATATTCATAATTATTATCTGTAATTTTATAATAATAAGTTTTGAATTTTTATTTCTTCAAGCAGTGGAAAAGAAAAACAAACACGTGCGTACACTTCTGCGTTCTTGAGCAAAAAAAAAAAAAAAAACAGTGTAAATACTAATTTATTTTATTCATCTACTTATATCACAGAACTCTTTAAAAGTAAAATACTTAAAGTATTAAACTTGAAAAACTTAATACTTGGTTTAAATCTGACAAATTATCATTGAATACAGAAAAAACCAACTACATTCTATTCCATTCCAATCATAGAAAAAAATCTTTACCAAATATATTACCGTATCTAACAAATTATGATTGAATACAGAATCTTTACCAAATAAATCTTTACCAAATTTATTACAATTTTTAAAAATAGAAAGTAAAATTATTGAATTAACCAGAGCAACAAAATTTTTAGAGATACTTATCGATGAGAATATTTCATTGAAATCCCACATAAACTTTTTAAATACTAAAATTAGAAACAACATTTGTATGCTTTACAAAGCTAGAAAGATATTACCTCAAAAAGTTTAAAGCAACTTTATTCCTCTTTCATTCAAACCTATTATACGTATGGCAATATAGCATGGGCTAGTACCCATAGATCCAACCTAGTGACACTCTACCGACATCAAAAACATGCGGCAAGAATAGTATTTAATAAAGATAAGTTTACTAATGCTGAACCTTTGCTAAAACATCTTAGTGCACTAAACGTCTATAAAGTTAACATCTATTAAAAATTGTTGTTCATGCTTAAATATAAACTTGGACTTCTTCCATCACATTTTTCAAAAGAGTTTTTTAAATGCAATAGAAATAAATATGATACTCGTGGAACAGAAATTTTATTTTACCAAATAAAAAAACAAAACTATCACGTTTCTCTATTTTGTATCGCGGCCCTTACTTATACAACAAACTAATTTTTAAAAATAATGCAATTGCAAAATTACATTAACCAAAATCTCTGAAAATACTATTAAAAAAACTTGTTCTAGACATAAACAATTTTACGAACGTATATTAAAACTAATAATTAAAAAAAAAACCTAAAAATTAACTTCAAAGCAAAGTATATATTAGATTTTATTTATATTTCGTACATGTCTGTCAATATATTAAGTATAACAAGCTGTGTAATTATATATTGATTATATATTTATGTGCATCAAATACAGCTCTTTTGTCTTTTGATTATCTAATAGCTTTTTATATGTGACTCTAATGCCACTAAGAAACTTTGCTAAACTGAAACTTTTTAATAAATTAAGTATACAAAAATATATTAAGTATAAGTAAAAGCGGTTTCTTGATGACAAGACCACATGGTCTTCTGCAAGTTTTCCGCGTTCTTTTAACAGCTTACCTTTTTTATATTTGTTATTTGTGCTAAATTTATTATTTGAACTGAAAAAAGTTCCTATTATATGTACGATATTTTATTTTATACATTGTAAACGAATCAGTTTATATAATGATCACGTATTTGAAAAATTGAAAAAGCAAAAAGTGTACCTATATTTATTTGATACATTTGCTATGAGCAATTATAGATACATTTGCTATGAGCAATTATAGACCAATCTCAAATCTCCTAATATTTTCTAAACTCCTTGAAAGAATAATTTACAACAGACTATAAATATTTTATAGAACACAAAATCTTAAGTGAAATACGGATATAATACAGATTATATAATACCTATTAAAACAGATAATTACGGGCAATACGGAATTCAAATGTAACATTCAACAGAACATGCTTTCCTAGATTTCATTAATAACATTAGCACTTCTTTCAATGATGAGAAATTTGTATTAGTACTCTTTATTGATTTGACCAAGGCGTTTGACACAGTAGATAATACTACTGATAAAAATGGAAAAATAAGGCATTTAAAATCAAGCTATAAAATGGTTTGCTAACTATCTAGACTATAGACAACAATGTTTTACTATAGATCCCTATAACAACTCAAAACAGCTGAAAATCAAATGTGTGGTCCTTAAATGATCTTTTCTTATTCCCCTTCCATTATGTCAACAACCTTCCCTGAAGTCTCATCAAAGTTAGATTGCGAAATTTTTGCATACGACGCTAATCTGTTTTATTTTTCTAGCTCAATTAGTGACCATTTTATAACCACAAAAATAGAACTTATAAAACTTAACACATGATTCAGAGCTAACTAATTTTCATTAAACTCAAACAAAACTAAATACATCTTATTTCACTCCAACAAAAAAAGAGCTTTTCCATCAAATTTACCAACTTTTAACCAACTTAGTATAGACAACACAATTATTGAACGAATGCATTCATCTAAATTTCTTGGTATACTTTTTGACAAGAATTTATCAAGTCCTTAAAAGTTATTCTAAAAAAATTAATTTTAGATACAAGCAAATATATGAAAATTTTTTAATATGTATTGAGTAATTAAAATGTCAAAAATATGTCAAAAAAAAAAATTTTAACTTGAATGTAACCGGTGATAACTAAAAAATGAGAACAATTCTAACCCCCTGAAATCAAACCACAAAAGTCAAAAGAAGAAAAGTACTCCTATGTGAAACTCTTTCTCTGTTTACAAACTTATCATATGTTTTGTTTTGCATCAGCTAATTCAGTTGTGTTTAAAATGCCTTCAAAACAAGATGTACTACGCAAATGCATTGTAAAGTTTTATCATACGCATCAAAAACCTCGAAAAAAAGTTTACTGTGAATCATTTTAAACCCGAAAATGTTCCTGTTTCAACTATTTACCGTATTTTGGCATCCTTAACAACCAATTGTAAAAGTGTTAGTGTTCTACAACACCTACAAAAGTAAGATATAAATATAAACACAAGTTTGAGCAGAAAGTGATTCTGTACATCGCCATATCTGAATGTGAAATTTCTAAGCCATTGTTTAAGCCAAGTGATTTGGCTATTAATCAAGAAGTATACAAAAATCAATGCTTGAAGAAAGTATCGATTCAATTTCTTTAAAAGTATCATTTAGATAGGAATTACTTGATTTGGCCGGATAAAGCATTATTGCATTATGCCAAAAAATACAAGTCTTCTTGGAAAGCCAAAACATCTTATATATATACCAAAAATCTGCATAACTTGCCTCAGTGTCGCCCAATTGAAAGTTTTGTTTGGATATTTGAGTTCGGTAGTATACAAAAGCAACTGGAGAGCTAAGAATTGCAAACAATTGAATACACAAATCAAAAAATGCATCCATCAAATCGATATAAATGCTGTAAAATGCTCCTGTATCATGACAAAACTACGTCGAACTGATGACGATGGACCATATTCGAATGCTCATTAATTTTTTCTTACAGATAAGTGATGTACCTTCAATTAAAATAAATTTAAACAAATATATTAATAAAAAACTAATAAAGAAAAGGGTTCGCCATAAATAATTATTCTTTTTTTTTAACTATTTGCTC